GGGACTTTCTCCCCGCAGAGGGGATCACCCACTCCTAGTCCTCGCCCTGGTAGCCCCGTCCCTGGGAGTGAGCGCCGGGGCTCCCGGCCAGAAGTGACCCCCGTCAGCCTGCGAAGCACAAAGGAGGGGCCCGAGGTCCCGCTCAGGTGAGAAGCTGGAGGAGCGGAGGAGCTGCCAGGGCTGGTGGGGGAGGGGCGTCCGCTCGGGCGCGGTGACTCACACCCTGGGAAAAGTTCCCGTGCGTGGGGGCGGGCCTGCCTCTCCATCTCCATGGTAACGCAGACAAACCAACAACACAGCTGGGGCGGGCTCCAGGCGGTGGCCGGTCCAACCCAGGCTTCGGAAACCTGGGGCGGGAAGTCGCGGCCTCAGCCAGGACGCTCACTTGTCCCTGGAAGTCCCCTGGCAGAGCCCAAGCCTCACCAGCTCGCTCCACCCGCGCCAGTGATACACATCTCTCTCGCTCCCCGCCTCAGGCCCCGAGATCAGCTGCCCCCCCTCCCCCGCTCCCGCCGCTACTCCGGGGACAGTGACTCCTCAGCCTCCTCGGCCCAGAGTGGCCCCCTGGGTGCCCGCAGCGACGACACGGCCACTGCCTCCCGGAGGGAGCGGCCCAGCCACCGGTTGACCTCGGGTGTCCCGGCCTCCCCGAGACGGCCGCCCACCCCTCGCAGCCAGTCTCGAGACCGGCTGGACCGGGGACGGCCCCGCATGGCCCCGGGCGGCCGAGGCTCTCAGCTGTCGGCCTCCAGCCCCGGGCGTCGCGCCCGCAGCCAGAGCCGCGAGGAACAGGCGGTCCTGATGGTGCGCAGGGACCAAGACGGGCAGCACTCGTGGGTAGCCCGGGGCAGGGGTGGCGGGGGGTCGGGGGGTTCTGGAAGGAGCACCCCGCAGACACCGCGTGCCCGCAGCCCTGCGGCGCCCCGCCCTCCCCGGGGCCCCAGCCCAAGCCCAGAACTGGCTGCCACACCCGCCAGCGTTTTCCGCACGCCACTGCAGCTTGACCCGAAGCAGGAGCAGCAGCTGATCCGGCGACTGGAAGAGGAATTCTTGGCCAATGCCCGAGCCTTGGAGGCTGCTGCCAGCCATACCCCTATGGGACCTGCCCCTGACCCCCCAGCTCCGGACTCTGCTTACTGTTCGTCCAGCTCCTCATCTTCATCACTCAGTGTCCTGGGTGGCAAGTGTGGCCAACCGGGGGAGTCAGGCCGCACAGTCAATGGGCTGCCCACGCCCCGCAGCCAAGCTCTGTCCAGTTCTTCTGATGAAGGCAGCCCCTGCCTTGCTGTAGGGCGGGCACTGGATGCAACCAGGAGCTCTCTAACTGGCCCAGAACCCTCGCTGACCTTGGCAAGGGGGCGGACGGACACACAGCCAGACCGTAAACCCTCACGCATTCCCACACCTCGGGGACCCCGCCGCCCATCAGGACCCATGGAGCTCGGGGCTTGGAATGCCCTACAGTCGGTCACCCCAAGGACCCAACCAGATTCTTGAATGTGATGGACCGGCGCAACTGCACCCACACCCCATTCCATTTTCTTTGTGGCCTTAACCTACCCTCTGCATCAGGGACCCCCCCCCTCCACCTCTTGAGCACCAGACCTCATGGGACCAGACCCCACGGGACCACATGGCACAATGGGACACCTGTTGTACATTCCGGTTTCGGGGATGAGCGTTGCTATTTAATTACTAATATTATTGAATGCCTTAGAGGAGACCGGGCTACCCCGGTGTCCTGAGGACCTGTGGTCCAGTAAACAGAACCTCTGACAGTAAAGTACTGCTCCAGCTCCTGTTTTTTGGGGACTGAGCCTTCGTTATATGTTGGGATTCTAGAGTTAACTGCCTGGAGGCCAAGCCTCAATGTCCTGACCTGCCTATTCCAGAACAAGAAACCCTTAAATTGTGCGTTTAAGTTGTTTTTTATTACCTGGTAAGGCATGACTTAAAAAATGTCTCCAGTAACCAGTCCAGCACTGGAGAGGCAGAGGCAGGTGGATCTTTGTAGTTCAATGCCAGCCAAGCCTATATAAGTGAGACCCTGTCTCAAAAACAAAAGATGTTTCCAGTAAAGCGCCAGGAGCTGTATGAATGCTTCCAATCCCGTACATATTCAGGTCCTTTCCATCTGTGATTGTGACCCAATAAGGTCTCAGATAAAACTGAACTTGTCCAATGATTGGGAGTTGGCTGGGTCCAATCAAGTTCAAAGAAAAGCCAGTCGGCCAGGAGACTGGGTGGGAGCCTGCTTTTAGATTTCCTTGTCCATTTTGGTCACATGAGACTGCAGCGCGCTGGATGCAGCGCCCCCTGCAGGCGCAGGGCCGGATGCGCAGGACGTGTACGCACCAGAGCACAACGCAGAAGCTCTCGGAAGAGACGCAGCACGTGCCAATTGTATTTGGCTGAGCACTCGAGGTAGCCGCAGCGCCAGCCCCTGCGTACTAGGGTGGCCAGTGCACGACGAGGTCCGAAGCGCAGCCGCTGACGGTCCCGCTTGTTGCCTACCACGAGGATGGGTGCCTCTGGCGCGCCCGCCGGCCTGGAGGCCCGATGGATATGAGAGACGCAGTGCTGGAGACTCCGTGGCCAGAGGAACCCTCCCCATGCGTACAAATACAGGCGGCCCCCGCCTACTGCCAGAGACCCTCGGTTGTACCAAAGACCTCATATAGCAGGAGACCTTCTCGTGGGCACCAAGTGTGATCCAGAAGCACCCAGACCAGAACTACCCACTCCCCTAGGCAGACCTCCACCTCCAGCCAAGCCCTCACCTGTTTTCCGCTATGCGCTGCCTCAGGGCTTTCACATAATCGAAACTGTCCGGGCTGCAGATGTCGTAGACCAGCACAAAGGCGTCTGTGTCCTGCAAGCTCCAGTCTTTAGGGTCTGGCCACTCCTGGGGGTAAAGGCTGAGGTTTACAGTTGACCCTCCTACTCCAAAACACCATGGTTCATCCTCAGTCCATATCACCTCCCAAAACTCTGTACACACCCTCCCTCAGGCCAGATTTCCCGGCTGTGCCTGGATCTTGTCAGGCCCTAAATCTCCTAGGTCCTGGGCCTCCCGGCAGACTACTACCCTCCCTCCCTATACTACTACTGCTGCCTCTCACTGTCAGGTGCGACCCCCGAACCTGCCTTCCTCCAGCCAGCGGATGGTGACTGACTGCCGGTGCAGCTGGACAGGTGAAGCCTCTGGCCTAAGCACCTGCTTTCCCCTTGCAGTATTCTTACGGCTTCTTTTACCCATTTAGCCTTCCAGGTGCTTCTCAAAGGCCAGGCCCTCTGGGAAGCCCTCAAAGGCATCCAGCGCCGAAGACTAGAGGTCTGTCTGGGACTTTGCACAACTCACTGAGGTTTTGATGCAGGGCACAGGAATGGGGGAGCAGTGGTCCCCTCTAGAAAAGATACTCCTGTGTCTGGCCCAGTCTATCGCAGTGGCTTAGCTCAGGCAGTGCTGTGCCAGATGCCGATCCAGACACCAGCACTCACGGGGACAAGAAACAGCCACGGGTGCCTCTAGGCTGGCGCAGGAGGCTCTCATGCAGTGCACCAAGACACACTCTTCCCTTAATCCCCTAACATGCTCGGGCGCCCTGGGTCAGTCCACGTGGACACGCACGTGGGCACCAAGCGCACGAACACACACACACACACACACACACACACACACACACACACACACACACACCTGGCCACCTACAAACCGCTACCTCGAGACTTCTGGGGCTCGAGCCGGGGCTAGCGACGTCCCCATCGCGGATACTCAGGTCGTAGACAGCGCCGTCGAGCAGCACGGCGGGCCGGTAGAGGCGGGGACCGTCTGTGGGCCGGTGGCGCTCGGGATAGTCACCGAACAGGAACTGGCGGATGATGGCAGTCTTGCCCACTCCCGGAGCACCCAGAACAGCCACACGCAGGCTGCCGCCCATGGCTGGCCCGCGCCCCCGCGCCCGGCGCCGGGGAGCTTCATGAGCCGGCACCGCGCCGTGCGCGCTCTGCCCGGGACACCCGCGTCGCGCCGCCTGCAGCACCTGGGCAGCAAGAGGCCAGGCCCGAGGGCCGAGCGGGCGGGCGGCAGCGGACGAACCCGCAGCTCGGCAGGGAGAGCGCACCCGGCGCGGCGCAGACCCGCCCCCGCCCGCAGCTCGGTCCTCTCTCCGCTCCGCCGGGCGCCGGGAGCCGCCGCCCCAGCCGGCCGCGCGGGCGAGCAAGCGAGCAGGGCCTCCCGGAGGCGGCGATGAGGTAACCGACCGCCCCGCCCCTCCCGGGGAGGGTCACGGCTCAGTGACTGCCGGGCGGGCTGCCCCATTAGTGCCTAGCCCCCCAGGTGGCAGCGTGCTCCCCTCAACGGTTCCAAAACAGAAGCCCCTGCGCGCCCCCTTCCCGCTCCTCCGACACCGCTGGCTGCAGCCTGGCTGTCGTCCAGGCCCATGATGGAATCAGGCCACCTGGGGTCAGACCCGATCTCGGGCTGAGTGACCTTGGGCCAATCGTCGCATTGCGCCTGGGTCTGTGTCCCGGCATGCACCAAAGGCTGATGGCTTCAAGGCTTCCTCCTGTTTCTTGAGACCCTAAGCGCCAGATCCTTTTCTGAGCTTTCCCCTGCGTCATCTTTGAACCTGAAGCCTCAACCTGGTATTCTTGGTTTAGGGAGGAGGAAACTGAGGCTGGAGAGAGGTGTCTCAAGGTGAGGCGGGCAGTGGAACACTGGCCCAAACCTGCATCTCCTCTGAGACCCTTCCACCCTCATTACACCCACAAGGGCAAATGGCCAGAAGACCAGTGTCTCAAAGGACCAGCCTGGAGGGGAGTTAGACACAGAAGGGTTTGAGCCCGCATACAAATCTCTGCTCAGCAGCTCAGCCCCAAACCACTGCCTCAACAGGTTGGAGGAGAAGAAACAGATCCACCGGTCACTGCATGGAGCCCCTCACAGGGGCGCCTCATGCCATCTGAATTGGCAGGGTCCAGATCCCCCTCCGTGGGTAAGCACCGGAGCTTCTCGACAGTTTGGAAAGTCTGGGTTTGCCCAGCCCCCATCTGGCTCTGCCATCTTCACACATTGGGAGGAACTCCTAGGCCTCTGCCCTCCACCCAGGTACTGTGAAATGCAGACACGTGACTTTGCACCAACCAAGGTGCTCATATAGCCATATTTCAAGTCTAGCCGGTCGCCAGCATAGTGAAATGAATTAAAAAAAAAATGTCGCCGAGCAGTGGTGGCGCACGCCTTTAATCCCAGCACTTTGGAGGCAGAGCCAGGCGGATCTCTGTGAGTTCGAGACCAGCCTGGGCTACCGAGTGAGTTCCAGGAAAGGCGCAAAGCTACACAGAGAGACCCTGTCTCGAAAAACAAAACAAACAAACAAAAAAAGGTCTCCCCCTTAGGAGGGAGGGCTCTAGAACTATTTAGATATCGAGTTCTAAAGGCATTCACAGTATATTCACCTGACGCGGACCAGAGGAAGAAAGGGCAGGAGAAACTGGCCTGTGAAGGGGAGGGGCAGACCCTCCCACAGGAAGCAGGTGTCAGCAGCTGGGGGTTGTTTTCCTCCTCCCTCGCAGAGCAGCCCTAGGCCTGGTCTGATTTCATCTGATTTCACTGTGGCTTCATCCACTAGGACTGTACTGCCATACTCTAGGTCTTTACCTTCAGACTATGGACAGCTGGCGGGTTGTTGGTTTGTCTGTCTGTTTGTTTGTCTGTTTGTCTGTCTGTTTCTCTTCTCTTCCCCTTCTTGCTGGGTTTCCCTAGAAGGACTCTGCTTCAGTTTACAGGTTCCCAGCTTCTGGGTTTTACGAGCTGCTTTTTGTTTCCAGAAACAAAGAAGGGTGTAGATAAATTCAGCCCTTCCTCTTAGCACACAGCAGGAGCAGGGCAGACAACAGGCTGGTCTTCCCGGGGACTGTGTGTTCTCTAAGGCCCAGCTTCTAGACAGAGGCAAGTTCCCTTCCTTGGCTGAGCGCCCATGCCCGGCTTCCTTGGGAGTCTCAAGCGGTGCTGTGGGCAGGGCACCTCGGGGCACCTCGGGGCACCAGCGAGACTTCAAAGCCTGTGTTTGTCTGTTTTTGAAAGGAGTCTCACTTGTTATGCCTGGCTGCCCTCAAAATTGTAATCCTCCTGCGCCAGTCTTTCGGGTGCTGGGACTACCTGTGTGCAGCACTATACCTGGCTTGCACGTGTTCTTTTTTTTTTTTTTTTTTTTGGTTTTTCGAGACAGGGTTTCTCTGTGTAGTTTTGGTGCCTTTCCTGGGACTCACTTGGTAGCCCAGGCTGGCCTCGAACTCACAGAGATCCGCCTGGCTCTGCCTCCCGAGTGCTGGCACGTGTTCTTGGAACTGGAAGATGCTATCCCTGCAACCGGCCCCCAGGACCCCACAAATCCTTTGCACACCAGTTACCAACAGCACTTCTCACTTCTCCAGGCTGGTGTAGTCAAGCCCTGAGCTCAGCGCTCTGCCCATCTGGGCGCTGAGGGAGGCAGTGATTTGGCCCGAGTGTCCATAATGTACTCCATAAACATACAGAGAAGCAGAGAGATGGAAAGTCCTGGGCTGCTTCAGGGGTGGGGTGGGGTGGGGAGGTGGGGCGGTGAGTGAAGGGAGGCACTAGTGGACTGAATCTGAGGGACTTGGGAAGGGTCTGGGTACACACTGTCATGTCACCTAAGCAAGCCCTGAGAAATGAAGCACCGGAGAGTTGAGTGGACTGGGAAGCGGCCCGAGCAGGCCGGGGGGGGGGGGGGGGGGGGGGGGGGGGGGGGGGGGGGGGGGGGGGGGGGCTGCAGAGCCTCACCTTTCCCAGGTTACTGCCCTGCCTCCCAGGCGGCCATGTGAAGGTCACTCTCTGTCTGTTGGGGTTTTGTTTTGTTTTAAGACGTATCTTCAGAGCTGCCTACTGCCCCCACATGGCTTCTTTCTGGGTAGCCTGATTCGAGGCCTTCCCTGGGGTTCCACACTGCGTCAGCTTGGGGGCCTTTGCCCTGGGCTCCCCCAGGCCACATCACGGTTCTGCCTACCATCATAACACCACATCAGTTGTCCCAGCACTTCCTCACCTCCCTGAGCTCTAAACGGGGGTCCCCTATTGCACAGACACCAGCACTAAGTTGTCATCATGGTGGCCAGTCACCCTCCTGAAGGGAAATGGGACACAAAGGCACAAAGAGCCAACTCAGGTGCTGAGGGGAGGCCTTGGTGGGCGGGCCTTCCTCCCAGAGCTGTGCAGATACTTAAGCTCTCAGAACCTCTCAGAACGTCTCAGAACCTCCGTTTCCATCTCTCTAAAAGGGATGGTAACCCAGCTGGTGGTGGCAGCATACACGTGTAACCCCAGAACATAAGGGACTGTACAGCAGGGCCCTGTCTCAAAATAAACACAAAGGTTGTTAAATACGTTCAAATGATTGAAGTCAATAGTCTGGACCGCGTAGATTTGCTGTGGGACACAATGAGGTGGTACAGAGGAGAAGAGAGGGATTGGAGACAGAAAACTGTACAGAGAAAACAATCCATTTTCTATGTAAGTGTGAAGATCTGTGTGTCTACATAGTAAGCAGGCACACGTTTCTAGTTCCCTCAGCTGTGAGGACCAAAGTGACAGCCTGAATAGTAGCAAGCACATTCAGACCCAGGTCTAGGTTCTGTACTCTCTGTTCAATGACAGGAACCAGGCTCTTTGAGAAATGGCCAGCTGTAAGGTTGGGACAGGACAAACAACCCAGGACAGCCTGGGCAGCCAGGAAAAGAAGGAAATGCCAAAACAAATAAATTAGCACAAGGATGCGGTGTCAAGGGGACAGAGTAGGACAGGAAAGGGCTCCTGTGCCTGGAGCTGTTCCAGCAGTGGGATAATGTGGCAGACTCGCTCAGGTTAGATGGACTCATGAGCTGAGCACAGTGCAGCCTGTAATCGGCACAGGAGGCTGAGGCGGAGCCCCGTGAGTTTGAGGCCTGTCTAGACCGTCCAGCAAGAACCAACAACGGCTGGGAAGACGGTGGTCAGGAAAGTGCTGGGCCATGAGGACCTAAGCGGGGATGCCCTGCACCCACAGAAAAGCTGGGTGAGGCAGTAACCCCAGTGCAGGGGAGGTGGGGACAGGAGGGTCCCTAGACCATCTCAAAAAAAAAAGGATGGAGCATGACCTTCACATGTGTGCATGCTGACCCCACACATGTACACACAAATACGTGACAACTAAAAAAGCACAAAAACTGATTGGAAGTCCAAACTTATCTGATAAAAATGATTGAATACACAAACAATCCCCACAGAATAAACTTGGTTTTCTCTGAGAAGAATTTCAAAGATTGTATGTCCCCTGCCACCCATGCACTCTCAGAGCCTGCACAAGTGACTTGTTTCCTGAGAAGAGGCTGGGGGCCATAGGGCTGGGGATGGCTGGGGCACAGCACTTGTCTAGCACAGTCCTGGCTGCATCCCCAGCTCTAGAAGGAGAAAGAAAAAATCAGAAGGAAGCTGAGTATAGTAGTGACTCAGACCTTAATCCTAGCACTGGGGAGGCAGAGGAATTCCAGTTCAGGCCCAGGCTGCAGCCTGGGAGAGCTTGTCTCAGAGAGGAGCGTGTCGGGAAGGAAGGCAGGAAAGAAGGAAAATCAAGGCAGGTAGATTTCCGGCCTAGCATGTGCAAGGTTCCTGTTTAATCTCCAACATGGAAGAAATGTATAAACAAAGTTTATTTATTTATTATTTTGTTGGTTTGTTTGAGCCCAAAGTGTCATGTAGTCCTCAAACACGTGATCCTCTTGTCTGAGCATCCTGAAGCTGGAAATAAAACGCATGTGCCAGAATATCCAAGAAGCATTTTTTTTTCCTTTTGAGACAGGGTCGTATTATATAACATTGGCTGGCCTGGAACTATGTAGCCCAGGCTGGTCTTGAACTTGTGGAATCATTCTCCCATCTGAATTCTGGAATAACCAAATGTGTCACTATGATCTGTTGTAGAATGTTATTTCAAGGTGTGTTAGTTTGTTTACATTGTAAACACACTTAACTCTGTGAAGCTGTGTTACTGTGCCTGTCTAAAACACCTGATGGTCTAATAAAGAGCTGAATGGCCAGTAGCAAGGCAGGAGACAGGACAGGTGAGGCTGGCAGGAGAGAGAATATATAGAGGGAGAAATCTGGGAGAAGAAAGAGCAAGAGAACAAGGAGAGGAGGACACTAAGGGCCAGCCACACAGCCACACAGCCACACAGCCACACAGCCACACAGGCACACAGCCACACAGCCACACAGCCACCCACCACACAGCCACACAGGCACACAGCCACACAGCCACCCACCACACAGCCACACAGGCACACAGCCACCCAGCCACCCAGCCACACAGCCACACAGGCACACAGCCACACAGCCACACAGCCACCCACCACACAGCCACACAGCCACACAGCCACACAGCCACACAGGCACACAGCCACACAGTCACCCAGCCACACAGCCACACAGCCACACAGGCACACAGCAACACAGCCACCCAGCCACCCAGCCACACAGGCAGCCACTGAGTAAGAAGTAAAGAAAGGTATACAGAAATAGGGACAGATAAAAGCCCGGAGGCAAAGATAGACAGGATAACTTAAGATAAGAAAAGCTGGCAAAAAACAAGCCAAGCTAAGGCTGGACATTTATAATTAAGAATAAGCCGGGCGGTGGTGGCGCACGCCTTTAATCCCAGCACTCGGGAGCCAGAGCCAGGCGGATCTCTGTGAGTTCGAGGCCAGCCTGGGCTACCAAGTGAGTCCCAGGAAAGGCGCAAAGCTACACAGAGAAACCCTGTCTCGAAAAACCAAAAAAAAAAAAAAAAAAAAGAATAAGCCTGTGTGTGTGTGTGTGTGTGTGTGTGTGTGTGTGTGTGTGTGTGTGTGTGTGTGTGTGATTTATGTGGGAGCTGGGTGGCGGGCCCTCCAAAAGAACAAAAACAACCAACAACAATGATCTGGCCTTTACCAAGCACATTTATTTGTTTGTTTGTTTACTGATTTGTATGTTGTATGAGTACTAAGTATGCACGCATGCATGCTAGTACAGGTATCCTATATGTGCGTGAAGCCAGAGGAGCATGTTGTATGTCCCCCCCTACCATCCTCTAAGTGATTCTTTTTTAAAAATATTTTTATTATTTTTAATTTAAAAAAATTATGTGTGCAGCCAAGCATGGTGGCACACACCTTTAGTCCCAGCACTCGGGAGGCAGAGGAAGGTGGATCTCTGTGAGTTCCAGGTCAGCCAGGTCTGTCTAAAAAGCAAAAAATGTGTGTGTGTGTGTGTGTGTGTGTGTGTGTGTGTGTGTGTGTGTTGGCTACACTCAACTCAGGCCCTTGATGTTAACTGAGATCATTCTAAGGATGCCAAGTCTACAAAACGATATAAACAGTTGATGAATAAAACACTATTTTTTCTCCCCAAACACGAGCTAGTTCTGAAGTTCAAGCGGGACATAGAGGGTGCTGCTTTGTGTATGCGTGTTTTGTGTTTTTTATTTTTTGTCTTTTTTGTTGTTGTTGTTGTTGCTTTTGTTTGTTTGTTTGTTTTTCTGTTTGAGGCAGGATCTCACTATATAGACCAGGATGACCTGGAACTCACAGACATCTGCCTGTTTCTGCCTCCTGAAAGCTGAGGTTAACTCGTGCTCTGGCAGGCACACTTTGGAAAGGGTAGAAGACAAGAAGAAGTGAAGTTTCCTGGTACAGGACGGAGTCCAGAAAGAGTCCAAGTACATGTGGAAGTGCAGTCTATGATAAAAATGCAACTGCAGCTCTGTGGAGAAAGATGAATATTCAGTATGTGGTGTGGAGGCGACTAGGGAACTGTGAAGGGGAGGGGAGGTTGGAGCCCTCCTTCATTCCTACACCCAGCCAGATGGAGGGGGAGTGAGATGTGAGCGCGCAGCACATCAGACAAGTACTCGAAAGAAGTGTAAGAAAGCCGCAGAAAAACCCGGGGGATGGTCGAGAGCACTGACTGCTCCTGCAGAGGATCCGAGCACCATTCCCAGTGTCCACGGGCAGCTCTCAACTACCTGTGACACACACACACACTCACACACACGCACGCACGCATGTGCGCACACGCACGCACGCGCACACACACACACACGCGCACAAGGAAAAAGGAAGAAAGACAACACCATATTGACATGGAAGAGGAAAAGGGGGAACAAAGTGAGGACTGGAGGCATGAAGACAAATCAGTAGAATGTAACCAACAACCACACGGAAAATAGGCGCAAAGTATGAAACCGCTCCCCAGAAAAGAGCAATTGCCCAGGAATACATGAATGTAGGCCCGTTTAAAATGCCATATCGGGGGGCTGGAGAGATGGCTCAGTGGTTAAGAGCACTGGCTGCTCTTCCAGAGGTCCTGAGTTCAATTCCCAGCAACCACATGGTGGCTCACAACCATCTGTAATGAGATCTGGTGCCCTCTTCTGGCTTGCAGGCGTACACGCAGGCAGAACATTGTATACATAATTAATAAATAAATCTTTAAAAAAAAAAAAAAAAAAAAATGCCGTATCGGGGCTGAGAGATGCTCAGCGCTTAAGAGCACTTGCTCTTGCAGAGGTCCTGGTTCAGTTCCCAGCACCCCACATGTGGCTCACAACCATCTGTAACTCCAGTTCTCTCCTCAGACCTCTGAAGCACCCACGTGGTGCACATACATACACTTACCCACAAAAGGAAAAGTAAGCAAATCTAAAGAATCAATTAACTAAATAAAAACAAACACAGTAAGATGACATTCTTCACATGCCAGCTTGGAATAAGCTGTTGTAGAATGTACATGTTGCAGAATGTACACGTTGTAGACTATACATGTTGCAGAATGTACATGTTGCAGAATGTACATGTTGTAGAATGTAGATGTGGAAAGCCTTGCTCCTAGCCAGTGGGAGTGTGGCTGGAAGGTCATTTTAGCTATAGGTGTCAGAATTACCAATGTGCCTATCTGTGACCCAGAAATTCCTATCTGGGGATTATCTGCCTGTGTACACGATGAACAAGGTGCTTTCTGCAGATATGGCTCTGACAGTTTATCTTGGTTGGCAACGTGACTGGACCTGGGATCAACCGAGAGGCAGGCCCCTGGGCACACCTGTGAGGGCTTTCTTGATTAAACAACTGCCCCTGAATGTGGTGGTACCTCCCAGCAGTGGCCCAGATAGAAGGAGGCTGGGCGGGGAGCTTTTGCATTTTGCCCGATGCCTTCACGTCTTGCTGGTGAATAGACACAGCTGTTCTTTGCTGCCATCACAACCCAACTTTCTCAGATTTCGAATGTGGACTGGAGACTAGTGGCTCTCCAGGAATTCTCTAGGCCTTTAGCACCAGGTTGGGTGGCTGAAAATTATTTGATTTTATGTGTGTGCGTGGAGGTGTTTTGTCTGTGCACCACGTTAGAAGGGTGTGAGCCGCCATGTGTTGCTGGGAATCAAACCCAGGTACTCTGAAAGAGCAATAAAGAGCAGTGCTCTTAATTGATGAGCCTTTCCTCCATCCCCTAAATCCTTCTAATATAGATTCTTTTTCTTTTCTTTCTCTCCCTTTTTTTTTTTCTGTTTATTTTTATTTATTTATTTTTTTTGGTTTTTCGAGACAGGGTTTCTCTGTGTAGCTTTGCGCCTTTCCTGGAACTCGCTTTGGAGACCAGGCTGGCCTCGAACTCACAGAGATCCGCCTGGCTCTGCCTCCCGAGTGCTGGGATTAAAGGCGTGCTCCACCACCGCCCGGCTTATTTGTTTGTTTTTTCGAGACAGGGTTTCTCTGTGTAGCCCTGGCTGTCCTGGATCTCGCTCTGTAGATCAGGCTGGCCTTGAACTCAGAGATCCACGTGACTCTGCCTCCTGAGTGCTGGGATTAAAGGCGTGCTCCACCCCCACCACCCAGTGGCTAATATATATTAAGTCTATCAGTTGTCTCTCTAGGAAACCCTGACTAATACAGTTGTTCCGGTGACACTCATGACAAGTTTATTTGAATCACCCAAGGCTGGTGCTAACTGGATCCTCTGCCCCTGAGTGGAAACCACACTGTCTATCTGGAGAAGGGCACAGGGATTCCTCTGTAATGTATCAGTAACAGGAAAACAGGTATAGTGCAATGCAGAACAGTGCACTGTTGTAAAATAGTAGTTTAAAAATGTGTTACATTTGTTTGTGCTGTGGAACATTTGTTTAATGATGCAAAGATGTGTTGCATTCTTTTATGTTGCATTTGTTTAACTCTGTGAAGCTGTGTTACTGTGCCTGTCTAAAATATCTGATTGGTCTAATAAAGAGCTGAATGGCCATTAGCAAGGCAGGAAAAAAGATAGGCAGGGCTGGCAGGCACAGAGAATAAATAGGAGAGAGAAAAGGAGAAAGATAGAGGAACGAGAAAAGGAGAAGGGGGCCTGAAGAGATGGCTCAGAGATTAAGAGCACTGACTGCTCTTCCAGAGGTCCTGAGTTCAATTCCCAGCCACCACATGGTGGCTCACAACCATTTGTAATGGGATCTGGTGCCCTTTTCTGGTCATACATGCTGTATACATAATAAATAAATAAATCTTTAAAAAAAGAAAAAAAGAAGAAAAAGAAAGAAAAGGAGGACACCAGGGGCCAGCCACCCAGCTACACAGCCAGCCACGGAGTAAGAAGGAAAGAAAGGTATATGGAATAGAGAAAGATAAAGAAAGATAAAAGGCCAGAAGCAAAAGGTAGATGGGATAATTTAAGAAAAGCTGGCAAAAAAAAAAAAAAAAGCTGGCAAGAAACAAGCCAAGCTAAGGCCGGGCATTTGTAGAAAAGAAAAAGTCTCCATGTGATTTATTTATCTGGGAGCTGGGTGGCAGCCCCCAAAGAGTAAAGAGCCAAAAGAGTAAAATAAACAACCAACAGCAGTGTATTCCATTTGTTGTACATGACTGACCTCTGGGGCCAAGCAACCTCCACCTGGGGGGGCGGGGGTTCAGCTGCGCCTTTGGAAAAGGCTCATCCCAGCTGGGCTTGTTGGCTGTTTACAGCCCCTCCTAGAGGGAAGGGGAGGGTCAGGAGACCTTCACTGAGTATCCAGCTGTTCTTTACCATTAGTTGTTTGCAACTCTTCTTTTGCACATGGAGGGGCTAGAGTATAGGTGGGAGAGCACTGGGGGATGCCTCCATCCATGCAGCTATGGAAAAGCAAAGACCTCCAGTGTGACTTTTTAAGACCCCCCCTCAGGTAACCCATTACCTATGCTCTGCAAATAAATAAGTGGAATAAACTTAGTCTCCTCCAGATTGAGCGCTGGTGGAATTGTCCCTCATTTGGTTTGTCATGGGGTCTTGGGAGGAGGAGGTACATGTTCTTTCCCCTGTCAAGGAATTTTAACTACACAATTTGTATGTAAGATAGAAAAATCAAGCCAGGCATGGTGGTGCATTCCTTTAATCCCAGCATTTGGAAGGCAGAGTCAGGTGATCTCTGTTCAATTCAAGGTCAGTATGGTCTACATAAAGAGAGTCCCGGTCTACCTGGAGATACACAGTGTGACCCTGTCTCTAAAGAGCAAAGAAAGCTAGGCTGTGGTGTGTACACCTTTAATTCCAGCACTTGGGAAGCAGAGTCTCCTTGATTGAGTTTGAGGCCAGCCTGGTCTACATAGTGAGCTCCAGGACAGCTAGGGCTACAGAGTAAGACCTTGTCTCAACAAACAAACAAACAAACAAAAAACCCAAAATGAAAAACAACCAAAAAAAGGGGGAAAAATAATAATAACCATATTGGTTCCCTTTGGAGAGAGGAATGGTTTCCTTCCTTTTTTTTTTTTTTTTTCTTTTGTGCTGTAATAAAATCCAGGGCATTGTGTATTCCAGTATACTAGTCTACTTAGCCTTTGATAGCCCCAAACCACAGTTTTCAGATGTAAACTTCATACTCCCTCTATTGCAGGCACCTGGAATGAGACCACGTGCCCGTATTGTGCCAGTGGCCATAGCTGTATGTGGCAGGGTATGGCTGAAGCATCACTGGGACTCACAGAAGACAAGAATACCCCTCATGTTCATCCACTGACAGGGACTGGCCCAGAAATCCTGAGGTGGGTCCATCTGCGTGCATAGGGAATGAGCCCCAGAAATTACTATCAAATGGAAGTAGCAGCAGGGATGAGGATTTACTCAGTGCAAAGCTGCTTGCCTAGCCTAACTCAGGGGGCCCTGAGTTCAAATCCCCAGCATAAGAAACCAACAGCAAAAGCATGTCGGCAGTGTGCCAGCAATGGTCAGATGTGATTGTTAGAAGTTTCTCCAGGGTTTGCTTGGAAACATGAATGTTCTGGTCCTGGAAGAAACCTAAAATCTTCTGGGCATTGTGGTACATGCCTGTAAACCCAGAAGGACTGCTGCAAGTTTGATGCCAGCCTGGGCTACATAGTGAGGCCAGCCTGGGCTACACAGTGAGGCCAGCAGGGGCCGTAGTGAAACTCTGTTTCAAAAAACAAACAAACCCCCAAACAAGCAGCTAATAATAACAGTCCCACTTTGTCTTCTAGGAACTAAGGCCTGGAAAAGTATGGGAGGGAATACTGGGCATTTTTTCCCTGGTACAGTGATATGACAAAGCCCATGTGCCTCACAGGAGGCTTGGAGAACTGGGCCTGGCCCCCTGCCTCAGTTTCTCCCTGTGTGCATTAAGCCTTTGCCATACCACTTATGCTGAGGCCCTTCCTCCTCTACCAACACCTCCTTCCCTTGTTATTTTTAATTTTTTCCATTTATTTATTTATTTATTTTTGTTTTTTTGGGACAGGGTTCCTTTGTGTAACATTGGCTCTCCTGGGACTCACTCTGTAGACCAGGCTGGCCTTGAATTCACAGAGATCCACCTGCCTCTGCCTCCCGATTGCTGGGATTAAAGGCGTGCGCCACCACTGCCCAGCCTTTTGTTTGTTTCTTAAAATTGTATGTGTCTGGTGTTTTGCCTGTGTCTCCTTGCCCAGCATCTGTGTACAACAGTGTTGTGGCAGTCAGAGGAGGTGGTCAGATCCCCTGGGACTGGAGTTACTGATGGTTGTAAGCAGCCATGTGGGTGCTGCGAGCCAAACTCTGGTCCTCTGGCAGAGCAGTAAGTGCTCCTAACCCACGAGCCATCTCTCCAGCACCTATTCTTTTTTATTATTAGTTTTATCTGTTGACAGTTTCAGGCATGTCTGTGATTCAGTTCGATGCCACATGCCCCCTGTACGTCTCACAGTCCCTCCTCCAACTGTTGTCTTGTGGTCTAGAGTTTAAGGACAGCCACCTGCATGGGTGCAGCTGCTGTTCACCAGAGCAGGGGCAGTTCACCAGTACCTACACCACTGAAGACATTGCTTCTCACTCCCCCATCAACAGCCAATAGTTCTCCAGGGAGGGGTAGGGCCCTGTGACCCCCTCCTTCACTCATGACCAGATGTTGACAGGTCTAGTCTTGTGCAGACACAGTGTAGGCAATCTTAGCTGCTGAGGGTTCATGATTGTGGAAGTCATGTCATACCCAGAGATAGCATTTCCTGGCCCTTATCATCATCATCTGTTAGGGTCCTGGAGAAGTCCCATAAAAGACCACCATCCATATATGCAATCAACAAGAGCGTTTTTATTCCAGCATGCTGGGGCCTGCCGTCCCACACAAAGGCAAAATGGTGGAGGTCCCGAGAGGAGCCCCACAGGCTCCTTTTAAGCACAGCCAAGGGGCGTTCCTAGAGCAGTTAGGTCATTTTAGATATGATTGGCTTAAGCAAGTGACAATCATATTAGTATGTTCTAATTGGCCAGGGCTTGTCAGGGGCTGGTCAGGGCTACAGTTTTCCATTTTGGGTCAGGCCTAGACAAGTCCCAGGCTTTGTCCTTGAGCTGCTGTGGAGGCTGGCTGGCTTGGCATGTACTGACCATGGGGGCTGGCTCAGTGGCCCAGGCTTGGTGAGTCCTGTCTCCCTTGTCCCTGTGGTCAGGGGCACCAGTGATTATTTGTCCTTTGTTGGTGGCTCTTTCAGAAACTGCTTGTTCAGTCTCAGGAAACTGAAAATGAGGCCTGGTCTCTAAGAGAAGACTGAGCAGCCTGTTATGGCATCTGCTCGGTCCTCTCTCTCATCTAGCATGTTTTGTTTTTGTTGTTTTTTTTCCAAGACAGGGTTTCTCTGTTTAACAGTGCTGGCTGTCCTGAAACTTGCTCTGTAGACCAGGCTGGCCTTGATCTGCCTGCCTTTGCCTCCTAAGTGGTGGGATTAAAGGTGTGCTCCACTATGCGTGGTCTTCAAATGGCTTCCTTATTCATCCTTAGTTTTGGTTAACCCTCTCCTTAACCTTCCTCTTCTCTTTCTTATTATTTTAAAATGTGTGTGCATGTATGAGTGTGTGTGTGTACCACCTATGTGCAGTGCCTGCAGAGGTCGGAAGGGATTGGCTCATAGTTGTGAGCCACTGTGTGGGTGATGGGAACCAACCCGGGGTCCTCTGAAAGAGCAGCAAGTGCTCTTAACCACTGAGTCATCTCTCCAGACACCCCTCTACTTCCTTATCACCCCCCACACTGTCCCCTGCACCCTCAGATTCCCTCCATTTGCTTTCACATTCCATGGGTTCCTGCCCTGCCTCCCTCAGGCCTCTTCTCCCCTCATGCTGGGGCCATTCTTACTGTCTCTAGGTGGACGGAGCAGAACCGTGCTAAGGTTCTACCCACGCCTGAGATGAAGGCCGAGGCTGAAGGGGGAGAGTGACCCAAGGGTGGGGCTGGTCCAGTCCTCATGTCCTCCACCCAAACTTTCTCAATTCCTTCCTTCCCCAGGTCATCTGTCCTTGTTCTTCCTTGCCCATTGTCCTCCATAGGAGCAGCCATCCTGTGTCCACACTCTTCTGGCTTCAGCAGAGAAGGGGTGGAGACAGGGAGGCCTACAAGGCCCTCGGAGGCTCAAAATGCAGACTGTGGGGGTGCTGATCCCTGCAGCTGCTCCCCAGGGGTACACTCAGGAAGCTGGGTCAGGGGAGGAAGGTAACAGGTGACAGTCTTTCTTTTCAAGGCACAAACACTGTGCTACTCTACTGGGCAGGTCAGAGACTCAGGCTGCATTGGCCTGGATTTTTCCAAACCCAGACTTTCAGTTAACAATGAGGTGTGTGCAATCAAGGGCCTTGGCTGGCTCTGGCTACTGGAGTCCCCAGAGCAGCACACACAAGGTTGAGCTGGAGCAGTGGCAGGGAACTTTCCCTCTTTTTGCAGAAGTTAGGCCAGTGGGCAGCAGTGTGAGGCGGGCAGGAGGCGGGGCTGATGGGGTACATGTACAGGACCTTCTAGAAACAGAAGTCTCTGGGGCCAGAAAGTAACCCTGCCAGAAGAACTCCCTGGGAACCAGGCTAGTGTGAGGTTTATGACCAATGGCAGGTCTTGGTGGTGGGTAGCTGCTGTGGGCAGGTCTTCTCTGGGTTGCTGTCCTCTTGAAATCCAGAATAGCTATGACTGGCCACACGAGACCCTCTTCCCCATGGAAGGAGGGGAGGGCTCATAATTCAACCCAGGAGGTAGTGCATGGTAGAAATGGTTGTCATTGGCTGGGGGAGGAAAGGGAAACTTCCTCAGCAGCTGGTGTAGTGCCTGAAAACTGTCCATGCTCCTGTAAGCAACAGTCCTTAAATTCATGGCTTCACCATGCTAGACTTAGGTAGAATCCTTTGATTTCTGTTGTTGGTCCTGTCTGGGTGAATGTCTATTGTTCACGGCTTCCCAGGAAGTCACACAACACTTGGTACCCAAACAGGACCATGACTGAACCAAAGATAAGTTGGGAGAAGCAGCTTCGCTGTCCTGCTATGGGTGATAAGACATACAGTGAGGCTGCTCCATTGAAGATGAGTGTCGGTAGGAGAGGGCGTCTCCTGGGGTGGCTGTTGTCTTCGGTTTGCTACACTTCTTTTATGAATGGGGTCCACCACATGAACTCAGGGATGCCCCCCTAAGCTGCTGATGATCCGGGACTGTAAGCAGGCTGTGGTGGCTCTCGTGTGACCTTTGCAGTGGGTGACAAGACATGCATTGCAGGGCCAGCTCTCTGCTCAGAAAGAGCTTGCCTGTGTAAGGGAGGACGGACAACGAAAATGTCCTCACAGCTGTCTAAATTGGCGCGGATGGGATGGGAGTGTGGGCTTGTCCATTTCTTATGGTGTGTGTGTGTGTGTGTGTATGTGTGTGTGTGTGTGTGTGTGTAGCACAAATTAATCTGTGCTTAAGAGCACTTCCTAGTATCCAAAAACTCAGAACCCACCGGAAGAATCGGACAGTGAGTGGAAGTGGGAGTGCCAGGACCCATCAGATTTGACTTTTCGTACAGAAGTAATAAAGCCCATGGTTCAGCATGTAGATGGAGTCCTGAATAATGGCCCAGTACAGAAAAGCTAAGAACTGGGAACAAAGTTGCTTCTGAACTCTTTGAATTGCAAATTTTTTGTTGGTTGTTTTTATTTAAAGTTTTTTTAAAAAGTAGGTGTTTGTGTGTGATGTGCACATGAACGCAGGTGCCCACAGAATCGAGAAGGTGTCACATCCTTTGGAGCTGGAGTGACAGGCAGTTGTGAGCTGCCTGATGTAAGTGTTGGGACCAAAGGTGAGTCCTATGGAGCCCTCTCAAGCACTGCGCCATCTCTCTAGTCTGTTCTTATTTATTTTGAATTTTCTAAAAATGCATTTTATGCATATGGATGCTTTGTCTGCATGCATGTCTGTGTACTACATACTTGCCGCCTTTTGTCCACAGAGGCCAGAAGAGGAGGGGGTCATAGCTCTGGGATTGGAATTACAGTTGTGAGCTGCCATGTGGGTGCTGGGAATCAAACCTGCTTCTTCTGGGAGAAGAGCCAGTGTTCTTAACCTCTAAGCCATCTCTCCAGCCCAGTTATTTTTCTGACAAAGGGTTTTATATAGTCCAGGGTGGCCTCTTCTTCTTCTTCTTCTTCTTCTTCTTCTTCTTCTTCTTCTTCTTCTTCTTCTTCTCCTCCTCCTCCTCCTCCTCCTCCTCCTTCTTTTTAATTAATTAATTATTTTTTTTCTATTATCAGCTTGATACAGTACAAATTCTTATCCTAATAGTGAAATGTTTCACTAAAGCTTGCCCAGTGATTGAGTAAACCAAAACTTACTATAAGCCACAGTCATCCTAGGGCCCCCCTGCTATGTAGCCTCCAGGGTGGCTTCTAACTTGCTATGTAACTGAGGCCAGCCTTGAACTCCAGATCCTCCTGCCTCCACTTTCTAAGTATTAGAACTTTTAGATGAGAAATAAGAGAATCTCTCACTGTTTGACTTAGGAGGCCACGGGACATGGGGATGTAGAGCAACTGACTGCTGTAACTGCTCGTTCATCCTCAAGACAAAGACTGCATATAACCTGAGGCATTTACTGGAGGGAGACCAGTCCCTGAAGGACTGGGTCATACAAGTCATTAGGTTTACTCAGCCAGTTTACTGCCAGCCGAGGTCTCCAAGAATATCCAGGGCTAGAAGACAGAGGAAGGACAGGCAGGACTGAAGGAAGCAGCCATGTGCCAGGGGTTTCCTGATGGTCAGGGTATCAGGCTTGGCAATCTGAACGCAGGGGAGTCCAGTGGATTCAGCAGGGACTGTGGACGAGTAGGAGGCTTCAGTGTTGTGCTGCAAGCTTCAGATACATACAAAGTAGGATCTCAGCTGATTGTGACAAGCCAACACCTGGAAGAAGCCAAGGGCCTTCCAGAGGTCAAGCTGAGGCTTAAAAGGAGTCTTGGTGATACTGGCTTTTGATTATTAGCCGTTTCCTACTATGAATTTTCCGTGTGCTATTGTACCTTTTCCATCATTTATTGGGCACCATTTCCGCTCTACTAAAGGAATATTTAGATAAACTTCTGCGCTGACAGCTATGCACAGCCAGAACCTGAGTTCAAGCCTCCCTGTAATTATCGTCATTGGCAGCATCCGGCCAGGTCCATCCCCAGACTGAGGAAAGTACCTTATCAGAGATACCTCTGTACTCTCTAAGAACAGACTTCAAGTGTCCAGATGAGGAAGAGTCAGATGGGGAAGTACTAGCTGGGTAAAAAAGAGATGAGAAGAACCTAGTTGAGGCAGAATTAAGGTGAGAGAATTAAGATAGAACTTAGAGGGGACAATAGATAAATATAGAGAGAAATCGGGAAAGAAAAGAGCTAGACATGAGAACAGAACTGAAGCTGTGTAGATAGAATTTTATCCCAGAGGAATAAAGTAGATGGACAAAGAGCTCGGTGTACTTAGATTCTTTTCCCGAAAATAATTCTCACCGTTTGCAGTTTCTCTCTGGGCCCTGGGAAGAAGATTATTAAGGCTGGCCCTATAATAATATACAAGAGGGTTGGATCTCTTCCACCTCCAGGGGTAGCCAGCGGCAGCAGCGGCCATGCCCAGGCACAGCTGAAATCAGCCTCACTTGCATCTTGGCCCTAGGCCGGGCCAGAAACACAAACTGAGCCTGCCAAGCCCTGAGGGGTGGAGAGATGTGCAGTGTCCCCTAGTGACACCCCAGGAGGGTTAATATCTACAATACATAAATTAAAAAACAAAAAACTGGACATTAAGAAAACAACCCAATTAAAAAATGGGGTACAGCCGGGTGGTGGTGGCGCACGCCTTTAATCCCAGCACTCGGGAGGCAGAGCTCGGCGGATCTCTGTGAGTTCGAGGCCAGCCTGGACTACCAAGTGAGTTCCAGGAAAGGCGCAAAGCTACACAGAGAAACCCTGTCTCGAAAAACCAAAAAAAAAAAAAAAAAAAAAAAAATGGGGTACAGAGCTAAACAGCGAATTCTCAAAGGATGAAACACAAATGTCTGAGAAACACTGAAATGTTCAGTATTCTTAGTCATTAAGGAAATGCAAATCAAAACTTCTTTGACAACACTAGTCAGAATGGGCAAGATCAATAAACGAATTGAAAGCTCATACTGGCAAGGATGTGGAGTAAGAGGAACAGTCATCTACTGCTAGTGAGAGTGAAAATTTGTGCAGCCACCATGGAAATCAGGGAGGAGAGTCCTCAGAAAGATGGGACTAGCTCTACCTCAAGATTTGGCTACACCACTCTTGGACATCTACCCAAACAACTCTACATCCTACCACAGAGACATGAGCTCAACCACGTTCATTGCTGCTCTGTTCATAAGAGCCAGAAGCTGGCAACAGCCTAGATTTCCAGCAACAGAGGGATGGATCAGGAAAATGTGGTACATTTACACAATGCAATATTACTCAGCTGTTTAAAAAAATGAAATTCTCAGGTAAATGGATGGAGCTCGAAAAAACCATTTTGAGTGAAGACAAATGGTATGTATGTATTTGCTTATATGTGGCTGTTAGTTTTGAAGCCTTCAATGGGCATGCCACAATCTGTATAACCTTAGAAGTTAGGTATAGAGTGAAGACTAGGGTGGAGGGGATGATCTTCTGAGGAAGGAGAAACAGAATAGATACTTAGGGACTTATGGAGAGGTTTGGGGGGTCTGGAACAGAAGGACTGAACAGAGGGAGTGAGGAAGAGGGGGAGGGAGGGGAGGGACAGCTAAACTAGGGGACATTGGAGGACATATGGAAACCTTCTACAGTAGAAGATTTTTGTTTGTTTGTTTGTTTGTTTGTTTCTCTGTGTAGTTTCGGTGCCTGTCCTGGATCTCACTCTGTAGACCAGACTGGCGTCAACTCACAGAGCTCCGCCTGGCTCTGCCTCCCGAGTGCTGGGATTAAAGGCGTGTGCCAACGCCACCCAGCGAAGATTCTTTTTTTTTTTAAATAAGTTTTTTTTTTAATACTTTTTGTTTGTTTGTTTTTTGAGACATGAGTTTCTCTGTGCAGCTTTGCGCCTGTCCTGGAACTCACTTGGTAGCCCAGGCTGGCCTTGAACTCAGAGATCCACCTGGCTTTGCCTGCCGAGTGCTAGGATTAAAGGTGTGCGCTACCACCGCCTGGCCTGAATACTTTTTTAAACCTTATTTTATGCATTGTGTGAGGGTGGCAGATCCCCTGGAACAGGAGTTACGGACAGTTGTGAGCTGCCATGTGGGTGCTGGGAATTGAACCTGGGTCCTCTGGAAGAACAGCCAATGCTCTTAACCCCTGAACCATCTCTCCACCCCCCTCCAAGATTCTTAATATATATACATATATATGTACACACACACACACACACACACACACACACACACACACACACACACACCTAAGCCAGGACACCAGGACACAGAGGCAGAGGCAGGTGAATCTCTGTGAGTGAAACCCTGTCTTGAAAAACAAAACAAAAATCCACAACAAAAACCAAAACAAACCTAAATGAAATCACCAAATAACAGGGAAACAAAGCCTCAACTAGACAACTAAACAGCTCTTGCCACCAAACGAAAACTCCAGTGCCAGGAATGTGTTACACTGTTGGCCAGAAGGGCCCCATGGAAACCCCAACCAACTCAGGCTTTAGTCAAGCCTATTGTTTGCTCTGCACAGAGGATGGTAAGGTCCTTCTGCTGCAGACACTTTCATACCTGACTGTCCACTTTTGGGGGGAGTTGAGCTGGTGCCTCCCGAGAGCCTTCACCCCTACTGAATGGCGTTCATGGTAGTAGAAGGTACTCTGCATGCTACCAGAGAAAGGTAAACACCAACCCAGCTACAAACCTTTCTTTCCATCTACAATGGTGACCTGCCTACGTGATACACTGGTCAATAGTGGCACAGGAGCTGTGAGAGTAACCAACCACTATCTGATTGGATGTAAGGCCCCTCCATGAGATGGAACACATGCCTGACAGGTGGTCAAGACCCTGAGGCCAGATAGGCCATAGATCTAGGGAAAAACCAAATACTACTGTTCTACTAAAAGAATGTAGCAATGAAATGACTCCTAATAACATTCTGCTATACTCATAGATCGGTGATTTCCTCAGCCATCATGAGAGAAGCTTCCATCTTCAGTAGATGGGAACAAACACAGAGATCCCCAGCTGGACATTGTGCAGAGAGTGAGACCTTGGAACACTCAGTCCTAAATGGGACATCTCCATTAAATCCCTCTCTTCAGGGCTCAGGGAAATTTGCAGAAGAGGAGGTGGAGAGATTTAAGAGCCAGTGGGGTTGGAAGACACCAAGAAAACAATGCCTTCTAGCCACAACCAGAGTAACCTACATACGACTTCAGAGACTGTGGCAGCATGCACAGGGCCTGCACAGGTCCAAGCCAGATGGATTCCCAGCACTGAGAGTGGGAAGTGAACACGTGCTCCCATCCCTAACCAAGAAGCTATCTACAAACCACATTTATTAAGGGCAGGCCCCCTGTCCAGCAGTAGACAGCCAACTCAAAATGAACTCAATGGTGTTTTGGGAGGTTTTTTTTTTTTTTCTTAATGTTTTGTCTGGGAATTTTTTACCTCGCTGGTCTTTTGCTTACATAGTATGGTTTCTAGTTTGTGTTTTCTGCATATATTTATGCTGCTGCTCCTTTTTTCTTTTTTTTTTGTTTTTTGGTTTTTCGAGACAGGGTTTCTCTGTGTAGCTTTGCGCCTTTCCTGGTACTCGTTTTGGAGACCAGGCTGGCCTCGAACTCACAGAGATCCGCCTGGCTCTGCCTCCCGAGTGCTGGGATTAAAGGCGTGCGCCACCACCGCCCGGCTTCTTTTTTTTTTTAAAGATAACTTATTTTTATTTTATGTGCATTGGTGTTTTGCCTGTATGTATGTCTGTGTATGAATGTGTCAGATCTCCTGGAACTGGAGTCACAGACAGTTGTGAGCTGCCATGTGGGTGCTGGGAATTGAACCTGTGTCCTCTGGAAGGGCAGCCAGTGCTCTTAACTGCTGAGCCATCTCTCCAGCCCCCCTTTTTTCTTTTCTATGGTTGTTTTGTTCTATCCTGGTTTTTTTTTTTTTTTTTTTTTTAATTTGCCTGTTTGTTTTCTACAGAGAGAAGGAATGCATGGAGTTGCATGGATGGGGAGGGGAAACCATGATCAGAATATATTGTACGCAAAAAACTACTAAAAAGTTATTCAGATGCCTTGTCCAAAGAAAAAAGTTTCATTATATGTTAAACTCTGAGTCCCTCTCTCTCTCTCTCTATTTATTTTTTTTGGTTTTTCGAGACAGGGTTTCTCTGTGTAGTTTTGCACCTTTCCTGGAACTCACTCTGTCACTCTGTAGACCAGGCTGGCGTCGAACTCACAGAGATCCGCCTGGCTCTGCCTCCCGAGTGCTGGGATTAAAGACGTGTGCCACCACCACCCGGCTAACCTCTGAGTCTCTTAAAAATGTAAAGAAGCACCTGAAATAATCTGCTAGGATGAAAAATAAGTCTATCCAGGGTACAGGGTACAGGCACTGGGCAGAGCTCTTGGGAATTTTGTGGCACTGATAATACCCAACAAGGTAACAGAAACCCCTACAACAGCCGGTGTCTATTAATGTACAAACAGGCTGGCCGTTGGTGGCACACGCCTTCAATCCCAGCACTTGGGAAGCAGAGGTGAATTCAAGGCCAGCCTAGTCTACAAAGAGACTTCCAGGACAGCTGGAACACAGAGAAACTTTGTCTGAAAAAAATTAAAAAAAAGTCAGTTAAAAAGTTTAAATGATGAAGGCGCTGTGGTGGGAAACGGCACATTCAGAATGTTTTTGGATGATAATTCCAGTGGCTAGGGATGTTCTCTTTCTACTAGTTGATGCCTTACAAATCACAAAGGTAATTGCCGCTGCTACGGACTGCACCCTAGAACTGGATGTAAGTCCCTATTGCTGAAGACACCATAAGCTATGTTGTAGAGCATGGATAAGCCTGTGAGGGCTGGGCTGGAAGGCTCCTCCCTGCTAGCTGGCTTTCATAGCACCAGGTGCTATGCAGGCTTCTGACAAGTTGCTACCAGTGGTCCTTCTCAACTTGTACACAGGCAGCATGTTAATATGTTAACATCAGTCTACCCGGCAAGATGTGCTTGGTGATTCAGTAGTGGTACAACTATTATGAATTCTAACTAGATTTGAAGGCCTGCTCCACAGCAGGGAACCCTCGTTTCCTGTTAGACAAAAGTCGGTGGCTGGTGAAGTCTTAGCTCCTAGTGGACATGTTACTGCTGCTGAGATTATTGCTGCTGTAGGCCTTGGTCAGGAAAGCTTCTTTATGCAGTGGGCAGTTCTTACAGCAGAGACTAAGAACTGGTTGAAGTACTGAGAATAAAGGACCGTTGCTCTGGTCTATTGGCACATGCTTATTCCCAAAGAGAGCATGGGAAAAAAACATAAGAGCTGAACAAAGGGGTAGGTTACTGTGGGACCCTGTTCAGGTATGATATAATGACCATTACTGTCCTGAAACCAGAGTAGCTATGATCAACTGCACATGACCATCACAAAGTTGGATCCAGCAACATTACCTCACAGAAGCAGGCAACAGGAGACTCCTCCTGTCCCCAAGGGTAACAAGAGGTTAACAATGCTGAGGTGGTGTTATTCTTGGGTGGTAGAACTTCCTGTAAGTAGTACATGTTCCTTGGGCTAATTGTTTCTTTGGTCTCTTGTAAGTGCTCTTCCTGAGTGAGTCTCTCCCCAGATAGCATCGCCCCAGGAAAAGACACTGCTCAGCCCTCTCCTGGGTCCCCCTCTCCCTCCAGTCATTCCCACTGCTCCAAGATAGCACAAAAGAGGAGGAAACTCAAATGGAACTGCATGCCCTTCCCTGGAATCAGAGGGGACACAGCATCAGCTAGGTGGGACTTAGCATCAATGGCAGGAAGGTGTCAGGGACACCAGCAGGCCAGCAGGGCAGAATGAAGGGATGGAGAATCAGGGCAGGGACCACAGTCAGGTATATGGCTTCAGCCCAGGACGCTTGCCTGCCCAGAAGAGCCTTACAACCTGACACACTGGCCAGGGACACACGTGATGTCATCATTTTTATTCGTTTTCTCTTTTTGAAAATAAGAGTAAACATACAATATATATTCTCTATTTATATGTATTAGATATAATTACTGTAGGGTCAGACATTATCCCCAGCCACCAGAAGCAGTTTCTTAGGCCGGTCTTTCTTTGTAGAGGGAAAGAAGTGTGCGTGACTGTCAAAAGCAGAATCTCTTTATTATCAAACAGCAGTGACAGAAAAACCTATCACTGTAGACACGCTGAGACTGGGGAGCCAGGGGAGGGCAGCGGATGCTAGAGAACCCACAGGAGCCCCACACTGGAAACATTTCCACTGCTGCTTGCTCCACCTTTTACCCTCTTTCTGTTCTAAGAGCCCTGGACTCACAGAGGGGACACCAAGGAATGTTTTGTAGGCAGTGACCATCCTCCAGGGCATGAGGGAACAGAATTCCAGATGGCTCTGGACCATGCAGGCAGTCACAGAGCACCACTGGGTATATATGGGGTATATAGTGCTGGCCCAGGTTGCTCCTCTGGGCTCCTATCTGCCCAGCACATCTAGCCCCTGGAGTCCCAAGACTGTGACAGAGCAAGTAATATTGGCACCCAGACTACCCAGGACAGGCTCAGTGGGGAGACAGGGCAGGGATTATGGGCTGGGACCCCAAAGGGAGTTCCATGCTCACCCCCAGGCAAAGGGAGAAGGAAGAGCACCCTGTGGCCTCCGGTCCAGCTTCTGCTGCTATGCTGGCTCCATTTCCTTTGATCCCACATCAACAGCAATGGAAAAACAGCTACTGGAGATACACAGAGATATCACTCCAGGAGGGGGCATGGCCCTGCTCCCGGCCCTCAATTAGGCTCAAGGGAGCTTCTTGGATGGTCAGGAGTCCACCTGGCCTTTCCCCAAAGAAAGGAGGAGGTACCCGCCACCCACAGGGGCTCCACAATAGGGCTGGCAGAAGGCTGGGGTGGATGCTGGAGGGACTTCAGTTCTTGAGGATAGTCTCGTAGGCCTGGTATACATGCTGGGACACCTCTGGTGCTCGACACTTCAGGGACAGCTGCAGGAGAAGAGGAGGGCAGAGAAAGAACTTATCCCCAGGGCTCCTCAGTAAAAGGATGGGAGAGAGCGGGCACCAGCTGGGAAGTGAGCTTGAGTGTCTGTGCATGCACACATGGCAGGTGGTGGCGGCTCAGGGGGGGCAGATGTGAGGTATAAAGCAGAGGGGGTGGCCGGCACAGTCGGCTGCGTGGGAACCAAATAGACTTGCAGCCCCCACACCTGCTGTCAGCTCTGCCAGCAGAGCCACTGGCGGGAGGCGTGATTCATGAGCTGTCGGGAGGACCCAGACCCCACCCCCCTTTTCGGGCTGTCTGCCCCTACAACCACTGGAGGTCAAGGTCAAGAGCCATTCTGATAGGCAATCCTGGTGGGCAGAGGGTTAAGAGGGAGCAGGCCTCTGCTGGGGACTGCAAGGTGTGTGGGGTTTGCTCTGTCTGACTCCTGCACAGGAAGCAGGTTTGCGCCAGATCACCTCAGTGCTGTCTGAGGTCTTAGCCTTGAGATTCTGGGCAGAGGGGAGGAAGCCAGCCAGCCCCCACTTCTACTGGAGAGCATCCGAGCTGTCTGAGGCTGCAGTTAGGAAGGAGTGGCCAGCAGGATTCTGGAATTCAGCAGCAGCAGCTCGCAGAGCGGTCCACAGGCCTCCTTCTAAGCCCCTACAGGGCTCTACAGACCATGCATGTGGAGTGTGGGAAAGCCCTGATGTTAGTAGCCTCCATGCACATCTGCTGGGCCTTGGAAGCATCAGATTTAAGCAAAGCCAAGTTACAGAGGGAAGCAGAATGCACTGGGGTCAGATCGGGAGATGAGGCATGCGCAATCCTGCTAGTAAGGATGGAGTGGGGCAGAAGAGGAGAGAAGCAATCTGCTAACCTCCAAGTCCTGTACCATGGCACCAGCAGAGAAGGTGGACATGTAACAATCAGACGGAGACGTAAATTACCACCACCTCAGCTAACGGCACAGCCCCACCCACCAGCGCCAAGGTCACCAGAATTGGAAGGTAATATCTACAGGGCCACACCTACCAGGCAAGGGTGCGTGGGGGAAACAAAGCCTTGACTCCAGGCCTGGGAATAGCCGTGCAGTTTACAGAATACCCAGACCCCATGAAGGTGTCCTCTGATAGCTCTGACTTAGGGTCTAGAAGTATGGGTTGCTGAGAATCAGTGTGCCCCTGGCCAGGCACTCAGGCACCCATATGGCAGCAGGGCCAAAGTCTGTAGTAGTGATACTATTTCCCTATCTGAGTCCATGTGTTTATGTGTCTATGTGCCTTGGTGTCTTATCTGGGTAACCTGATGGGGTTGAGTTGAAGTTTCTAAAAGTTCAGAGAACCAGTTTTCACAGCAGGCTCAGAGACCTTGGCACAGTGCCCCTGATATCACCGTCTCCCACAGCCCGGGCTAGGAATGCTGACTGGGGGAAGTCCTGCCAGGGCAGGAGGTGGAGGGTCAGACCTGACAGTGGGTACACGAGTTCTCACCGTGAAGCTGGGGTTGCCTGGCTGGATCCGCAGCTCTGCCAGCACCCAGATGCCGTTGGTCAACTTCAGAGACTGGTAGAGCATGTCCTGGCCCTCCACATTCCTCTTGGCGACGGTGAAGATGTTACTGCTTTGGAGCTTGTTGCTGGCAGCCTCTGCAGGACCAGACAGCCATGGGAGGCTCACATTCAGTGGGTCCAGGGGAGAGAGTGAGCGGAGTACTGGGGCGGGGGGGGGGGGGGGGGGGGCTCACCTGTGTTGAGTGGGCAGTCTCTGATCTGGAACTGGGGCTTCATTCTCGTTGGGAATGTCTTTCCATGTGGCCAAGAACATCTGCCGGTCTGCGGGGTGAGTAGGATGGGGTGAGAGATGGGATCCTGAAAACTGGCCCCTCAGCATCACATGACAGGAAATGGGTCTGGTCTCCAATGTGCTACCTGGAAGCTGAGTGAAGGCACTGGCTCCTCCACAGTTGCATCTGCTTCAGCTCAGAAGGACACAGGCCTGTTCTTAAATGCCCTCTGCTTCCTGCCTCTCCTCTGCCTTACCCTACATCTGACATCATTTTCTTCACCTCTGTGCGGCCTGATACTTAGACATGGCTCTGTGGCAAGGGTGATGAGGTGCCACACAGCCCAGGCCAAGCCTTCCCTGCAGCCTTCTCCGGGTTCTGGGCCCCAGCACTGAGGAGAAAGACACCAGGTATGGTGACTGACCTGGCTCTTTGCAGCCCCTGGGACAAGCTGAAGGTCCCATCCCAAGGCACAGCTGTCTTGTTGACTCTTACTACAAGCACTACCTTCCCCGTCCCCTCGCTGTAGTCCTGCTGAACAGCCCCAGGGCCCTCACAACTCACCCATCTTCCCGTCCTCCACAAAGAGGACGTGCAGTGGGTACAAGGTACTGAAGTAGAAGACATCGATGTTGTTCTTCACAGCCACCTAGGCATGGGGTCCGAAGTCAGTCCCCAAGGCCTGACACCCCGAGGCCCCCAGCAGGGTGTCCTGAGCAGGCCTTCTCACAGAACCCTCCCCTGCAGCCACGGCCTTTGTCCCCTAGCCCGGGTTCCACCTGCAGCCAAGAGCACAATCGTCTCTCAGGCCTTCCGCAGATACGGTCCGCAGATACGGCTAGCGTCCATCCCAGGACTGACCACGAGGAGGATGGGGTCCCAGCCCTGTGGGGACACACCTGAAGATTGTTCAGAGGCTCCATCTTCATGACTGAGCCCACGGTGCTGAGAGGCAGGGAGAGCTCCACAGTCTGGTTGGGACTGAGCGGCGCGTGCACCTGGAGTGGTGCAGCGGGGGCCAAGCCGAAGCTGAGGAGAGAGAAGCCCCGGGTGGAGGAGTGGGTGCTGACGGGACCGGGCTGGCCCCTTGTGCTCTGGAGTGGGGAGGGAGGTGCCGGGCAAGGAGCTCCTTCATTAAATAAGCTTTCCCAAGCTCCTGACCACCCCTGCTCCACTGGCCATGTAGAGAGGGGGCAAGAATCTGGGACCAGCACCACAGCCCAGGCTGGTTAAGGCAGCTGACCTCTGCGGCCATTTCTCCTCTGCACTGGACCCTGACAGGCCAAGGTGGCACACCCCTGCCCTTTCCGTTAGGACCTTAACCCAACACCAGGGGCCTGGACTGCAGCTTCTCGATGGCAAACCCTGACAGCCCAGGGAGTTACTGCTAAGACCCCTAATTTCAGAGGGGTCTGACCACCCCAGCAAAGAGCACGTTTCACTGGCGCCTAGGACCGGCCGTTCTGTACAGCCGCCACAGGTTCAGGCAAGCCCGCCTCTGTGGGAGTGGACCAGGAAGGCAGTTTCAGTAGGACACACTGCTGGAAGGCGAGTCACAGTGGTGTGGAGGGGAGCCTGAACCAAGCGAGTACTATGTCCAGGGGAGTGCACAGCAACAGGCCAGTTTCCACCGTGGTGAAAACCACAAGTGCACACAGTTCCTTCTTCCTGAGGAGGACACAGACCCTCCATGACGTCCTCCGTGACGAGAGGCACTGCTGAAGCTCTGCTCTCTTCTCAGGCCTGCCTGGACTCCAGGGGACCAGACCTGTGTGGTGCTCTGCACTCCAGCCTTTGAGGGAGTGCTATCTGTCACTGTCAGCTGTGACCTGGGCAGGGCCTTTGCCCTGAGCCCAGGTGTAATTGCCCATCACAAGGAGGAGATAGATAGCAGCTGCCCTCCTGGACTGTCAGGTAGCTCTATGGAGACCTTGGCCTAGGATCTGCTACCCAGGAAGTGTTCAATGCAGAGGGTTTGTTATAAGCAGGCATGCATCTACAGCCTCTAGTGTCCTGTGAGGGGAAGGGGCTGGGCTGCCTCAGCCTCCCCAGTCCGCCTAAGTCTCTCCTGAGGAAGCCGCCCCTTCAGTCAACTTCTTAGAGGCCCAGTTTGCTCATCACTGGAGCTGCTCAGGAAGAGGAATCATCAAGAGGGCTGCCAAGGTTCCCAGAGAGCCTGGCCTTGCCGGCTCATGGTGCTAGCAGGCACATTTTATCACCAACGCGCAGTACAGGAAATGTGGGGGATGGGGCGGTGAGGAGCCGGGAGCACCCACTACTTATTCTCAGAGTCCTTGTCTGATCAATCTTTTGCTCTCGGGGGAGGGTGGCTGGCAGGCCTACTACCCACCCACTTTCTCAGACCTGCTCCCCCACACCAAAGGGACTCAGGCCTGGAAGGAGAGGCAGGTAGGAGACGCAGGGACTTCCAGCGGGGAAGCTTGGAGCTTGGAGCTATGGTTTCTGACAGAACTGTTCTCTGGTCAGTGGAGGAAAGTAAGTTAGGGGAGATAACCTCTCCATTCTGTGTGGTGCTTTGGCGTCCACAAAGTGGACAAGAAAGTGACTGCTGTTGAGTTTGGTCAGGGGCTCACCTGTTACGATTGAACTGGATGGCAAAATCTGTCATGACCTGCAGGGCTTTGTTAGTCAGCTGCAGGTCCATGGAGATGGAGCCAACCTGGCGGGTGAAGGTGCCCGAGATCTCCAGGCCCTTGGCTTTCATGGCAGGGAGCCAGACCTGTAGGGAAGAGGATGGGAGGAGCTGTGTGACTCTTCTCCACCCCAAAGTCATAGCTAGCCTCAGATCCTTTTTCTCTTTCCTCAAGGGCCTTCTGATCAACCTGCCTCCACCACTAAGGCATGATAAATAAGCTAACCCTGTAGCCCACCCAGAACCGGCACCATAGCATAGTTCTGTATCCGAGTAGTTGAGGACAGGAAGGACATCTTCAGAGGTCAAAAAAGGCAATACAGAGAAAGACTGAGGAAAGGTGAGGAGACAGGTGAGCCTTGCCAGTGCCATGACAAGCCAAGGTCAGAGCTGAGTATCCGTCAGAGCTGAGTATCCGACAGTGCTCTGGATCCCGGCCACGGCCTGACTTCTCTTTGGCTGTTACAGCCTGTCCTTCCCTGCAGGAGACAGGGCTGGTCTTCCCCTGAAGAAACTGGCTGGACCATGGATAGACCCAAAGCAGCTCTGGCCTACCAGTGTCCTGGCTGTCCTTAGCAGGCTCAGAAGAGAATGCCTCCACCAGGAGCCCTGCCCTCCTCCCAACTGCTTGCAAGGAGCTCCTTAAGGGAAGGGTTTTACTGTTCTGTCTACACCTGTCTCAGGGCCTCGTGTGGTGCTGCACAGGGTGCTTACCAAGGAAATGGCAGGAGTCAACCCTGCCTGTGCAGGACAACTCCAAGTGTCATCCTTTGGATTCAGGTGCCTCTCAGGCCCTTTGTCTCCTTGGATTGGCTTACTGGCCCTTGATACTAAAAGGCTACAGTTCACCAGACAGCTTCCACAAGCCCCCAGTGTACAAACAGCTCAAGTCTTTTCAATGCTTCTGCCTACACCTGCCCTCAGGGCTTCCACTTCTCAAGGTACCACAGCTTCACCCAGGTGGCTGCCCAGATTTCTCCTTCCTCCTTTTCACAGCAGCTGAAATTATCTTGTAAAACGCAAACACAATCCCGAACCCCTGGAAAACCCTTTTCCCACTCTGCACTAGTATTCACAGCCTGGGACCTACTCAAGGCTTCTATTGTCTCTTCTTCCCAAGATGTCCCCCTTGCTGTCTCCCACTATTGGAAAGTTCTTCTGTCCCCACCTCACCTGGCAGGCTCTGAGCACCCTGTGTCCCCTGGGTCAGAAACCACCAGCACCGAGTCCCCAACAAAGGCTTGGAGTGTAAGAGCATTCAAAAAGATGCCAAGCCTAGCCCTAGGCATGGCTCCCACAGGACAGGCATGTGACTGTCTCAGCAGGTCTCTTGTGCTTGCAGAGCTGGTCCTCTTCCAACCACCATGTCACGCCTGACACGGCACTCAGTGGGTCACTGTGGACTCACAGAGTCTTGAGAAAGTCCAACAAAATTAAATCTTACTGGCTGGCTGAACCCCTCAACTAGCTGCTAATTCATGCTGGACCAACTTCAAGTTTTCACATACAGGGAGCTCCATGCTCCATGTGCAGGGCACATACCTATCCAAGGAAGGTAGGGAATCTTGGAAAAGGGCAGACAACCCCAGCAGTAATAGTGTTATGAAGGAAGTAGAGACCCTGCCACTGCTCGTGAAGGGGGCAGTGGTAAGGAGGTGGGAAAGTCCTGTCCTGTGGCAAGGACTCTTGGCCCGGAGTCTGCCTGATTACTTCTAGCCCAGTCCTCACAGCTTATTACCAGCACTAAGTGTGAGCAGGTACATCATCTCTACCAGACTAGCAGTGATGTCATCAGTTAAGATCTATACACACACAACCAGGTGGCGGCAGCGCACGCCTTTAATCCCAGCACTCGGGAGGCAGAGCCAGGGGGATCTCCTGAGTTCGAGGCCAGCCTGGTCTACAGAGTGAGTTCCAGATCAGGCTCCAAAGCGACACAGAGAAACCCTGTCTTGAAAAACAAAAAAAGAAAACAGAAGTCTCGGTGTCACAATTTGGGAGCTGGTTGGTGACCCAAAAGAAAAAGCCTGCTGTGTCCTATTGACCAATTTTTCTTTATGTATTTACTTAGCTCTTTTTGTTTTTTCAGACAGGGTTTCTCTGTGTAGCCCTGGCTGTCCTGGAACTCAACTCTGTAGACCAGGCTGGCCTCGAACTCAGAGATCCGCCTGCCTCTGGCTCCCGAGAACTGGGATTAAAGGCGTAAAAGCATGTGCCACTACACTTGACTTTGATCAATAGTTTTCTTTCTATTTATTTCATGTGTGTATCTATGCACAAATGCCATGATGTGCATGTGGAGGTCAGAGGACAACTTGTGGGACTCAGTTCTTTCCTTCCACCCCGTGGGGCTCAGAGATAAATTCAAGCTAGGTGGCAAGCAGCTCTACCCTCTGATCAATCTCACTGGCCCCAGTGAGTGGTTTTGTTTGTTTGTTTGTTTGTTTGTTTTTGATATCACATAGCTAAGGTTGGCCTTGAACTCCTGATCTTCCTGCCTCTACCTCCCAAGTATGGCTGTTGTTAGGTTTTTAATGGGTATGGTTTGGCCTGGTGCTTGGTGTCAACAATCTGTGTGGTAGGCAACTAAACATGTTTTATAACACACCCTGTGCTCTCTCAATCTGTTGACTGAGACTTGTGACCTTAGAGAGTATATAGCCAGGCATGGTAGCTCATGTCTACAATCCTATAATCTGAGCCCTCGGGAGACGGAGGCCAGAAAATTGCCACAAGATCAAGGCCAGCATGGGACTTCACAGTGAGACTCTGTCTCAAAAATGGAAGGCATACAAGTGTTCTCACTTTGTAGCAGTGACACAGAAGTTGGAGATTAGGCTACAGTGTCACTGCCCTGCACTTCATTCCAGATTCTGTCACTTAGCAGCTATGTGGCCCCAGGCAAAAGCACTGCAGTTTCTCCAGCATACAGAGAGTAGCAGTGGCAGGCATATGGCTGTAGGAGGACCCAGCAGGCTGCCGCTGTGCGAGGCTGCTGCGTGCCTGGCATCAAGCCTGCTATTGCGGTGGTGGAGCTGCTGTCATGTGAACCTCTCAGCTCAAGCCTGTCACAGGCCTGCCTGAGGCCCTGGCTGCCACCTCTGGAGGCGAGGCCAGGTCAGGGACATGCAGGTGCTGCCTTCACCCTCCTCTCCAAAGACCTCTAAGGGTGGGCCAAAGAGCTCCTGAGGTGGGAACCTCGGAAGACGAGAGTTCAGCAGACATGGCCTCTGACCCGTGTTGTTAAAGGATCGGGCCATCGAGGTCCTTGTGGAGCTTCCCTGACACAGGTGAACCTGACAGGCACCGTGCTCTCCAAAGTCCCAGGCACCAGCATTGACAAGCCAAACTTGGCTGTTCTCACCCATCGTCCAACGGCTCCATCTCGGTACCTACTGTCTAGGTGCTCACATCAGAACGGCCTCAGCCCCTTTTTCAATAGCCTGTATTCCTACTGCTGAGCAAGTCCTCATGTCACAGTCTGTCTGTGCTCCCAAAGCTGCTGCTGTTGTCAGGCTGCTAGGAGCACCCTGACAACCTCCTTTGCCCCTATGCAAAGCTCAAATCAACCCATTTCATCATTCAGTTTAGAACTCTCCAACGGCTAGCACTGACCCTGTATCATGAGCAAGACTTAATTGGGCTTAGCTATCTATCTCTAGAATCTCTAGTCTAGCAAAATGTCTTGGGGGGTGACACCCTCAGGAGCACACTGGGTACTTGTGGGCCGTTCTCGAGGAAGCATGATGAGGTAACGGGGTGAGGTACTATGTTTTGGGGACCAGAGACAGGAATGCTGAGCATCCTGCCATGGAACAGCTCCAGCTCCCCTGCATCCTTGGAGCACTCACTGCATACTTACATAAGCAGAAAGAAATAAACAGAAGTTCCCAAGACTAACTCATGGGGAGGGAGGGAGCCTGTTTTATATTTTCCTTTCTCTTTCTTTGGTGGGTGGGAGATAAGGTCTCTATTTTTTTTGGGTGGGTTTCGAGACAGGGTTTCTCTGTGTAGTTTTGGTGTCTGTCCTGGAACTCATTCTGTAGCCCAGGTTGGCCTCGAACTCACAGAGATCTGCTTGGCTCTGCCTCCCAAGTGCTGGGATTAAAGACGTGCCCCACCACCACCCGGCTAAGGTCCCTCTATTAAGCAGCCCTGGCTATCCTGGAACTCTATGTAGACCAGGCTGGCCTTGAAATCACAGAGATCCACTTGTCTCTTCTTCCTGAGTGCTGGGATTAAAGAAATGCCACTATAAATGCTGTCCTTCCCTTGGAAACAGGGTCTCACTATATAGCCCTAGCTGGCCTGGAACTCACAGAGATCGGCCTCTCTCTGCCACCAAAATGCTGGGATTAAAAGCGTGCACCACTACATCTGGTGACATTGAACTCTTGATCCTCCTGCCTCTACTTCCCAAGTACTGGGATTGTAGGTTTACATCAGCACACCTGGCACCTGTTCTGTTGAGAACTTCACTGAGAGTCAATTGCCTCTTCAGAAATTAAGAGTACCACCAGCTACACCCTCATCCTGAACTACTAATGCCACTCATGCTTGTCATGTCACAATGACAACACACTGGCATGTCTTCTAGGGCAGATTTTCTTCCTTGTCCTCTTCATAGACTGATGGAGACATGTGGTTATTTTTTAATTTCCATCCTGTGTAGAGCCATCAGTTCCCTTCCAAGATAAGAAGTTCTCTGTGTCTGGGACCCTGGATCTAACAGTGCTGAGAACAGGTACTCTGACAAGAGCAGGTATTCCCTTCCCTCCAGGCTTTCCCACAGGCGACAGCCTGTGGTGCCTTCTCCATCTTTACTCAACAAATGCTGACCGTGCAACTGGGCAAGCATTGCTGTCACGACAGGTCAAAGCAGAGGCTGTCAGAACACGAGACCACTGCTAGAGCACAGTAAGAACGAAAGACTGCCGACAGGGCTGAACCCTTCAGCTGCCTGGCCCACCCCCATGGTGCTGAGTTCAGTGGGAGGCCTTACCAATCCCAACTCCGTTCCCCTTCTCTGCTCCTGCCAGGAGAGAAGGTGAGGGACTTACTGCTTTAGGAGCTACATAGGATCCTGAAAGGGTGCCCACGCCACTGGTCAGGTCAAAGAGGTCACTTAAGCCACTGCTGAGGGGTGCTCCAAGTCTGGCTGGTGCTGCTGCTGCTGCTGCTGCTGCTGCTGTCACTGCTGGAGGTGCCCCAAAGTTGGTGTCTCCAATCTGGCAGAGATCAGAGACATGCGTGAGAGGCAGGGACATTAGGGGCCCATGAGGAGGTCACCTGCTCTTTAGAAAACAGAGGGGGGTGGGTAGGAACAGGACCACCTCCACATCAACTTTAAGTTGCAGAAATAAGACTAAGTAAGGTAGGTGGAGAAGAGAGGCTGAGCACTCCTGAGTCCCACAAGCTTTGAACCTTAAGGAGTGACCTCTGGGAGAGGACTCAACCCATAAAAGGGGGAGCCAATGTACATTGCTAGTAGGGGTGAGCTAAGCATAGAGGGGCTCTCTAGGAGAGCTCATGGGCTGAGAGCCAGCAGGCCTCAGGATGACAAGGCCTCACTGTCATGGGGTGGTGAGGACACTGAAGAATTTGTGGGCATGGGCCCAGGGGTAACTGCACGCCAGGAAGTCAAAGCAGAGACTGCGTAGACACTGGCCCACCAGCCAAGGCTCAGCACAGATGAAGAACTGGTGACAGAGGGTAGAACCGTACCCCTTCAGGTTCATCCCCCATCTCCAAGCAGAAGCAGGCAGGGTGAAGAGGCAGGCAGCGACATGCAGAGAGAAAGGCCAGGAAAGAACATGAGACAAGAGAAAGAGAGAGGTTAGTTAACTGTGGCTCTAGTTGGGATGAGTCTGTTCTGAGGCCCAGGGCCCCACCCTTGGAAAGATACTACTTCCTCGTGGCTTTAGCCTGACACCCTCACAGCCTGTGTCATAACCTCTTTGTAGTCTGTCCTAGGATCTCTCATGGCCAGACTACTGATACCAAGTGGAAGGTTCAGAAGCTGCCTCTGCCCAGCACCATCAGATGCCTGAGGAAGGGCAGAAGGAGGTTCTACTCTGACCTTCCATGGAGGTCTGGCTGGGCTGCTCTCCTTAGATGGTGTAGCCTGAGTGTAAGTGGATAAAGGCCTGGTTCCTCAGAGCTAGGAACATCCTAAGAGGACGCAGGTGACTGAGCATGGAGCGCAATCACCACTGAGGGCAGGATGAGCATCCGACACACCCCCTCTTGGCTGATGATAGCACAGAGGGGCATCGAAGCCTGCTCATCTGAAGATCATCAGGGACATCACCTGGGGGACCCAGGACATACCAGGCTGTCGAGGCCACCACCAAGAAGGTCCACAGCTCCCATCTGCACTGAGGAGGCAGCCAAAGGTGGACCACTCACTGGAGGCCCAAGGTCCAGATTGAGGAGGTCACCTAACAGGTCGCCCTGGGCAGGGATGACATCAGGCTGATCACCAGAGGCTGCTCCAGTAGGGGCTGTCTCAGGGCTCTCTGTGCTCTCGCTCCTGTTGGACATAGAGAGGGTCAGGTGGGGCGAAGGTATCAGAGTGTCCCTTCCCTAAGACAGGCACTGGGCTTCCTCACTGTCCAGGGGTGCGGGTGGGGGATGGGGCATCTATATGACTGGTCTCTCTGCCTCCCTAGTCCCACCTACTCTTTAAGCTCTCCATGTGGTGAGCCAGCTGTGCGTATTCTGGCTCATGTTAGAAAGGAAACTAGATACCAGCCCCCAAGACTGTCATGGGGCCAAACCAGCCACCCAGGAGCAACAGAGGTTATGGGAACAGATCTGTAGCACTAGACGTCAGCTCCACTGGCTGTGGGGTCCTCAACTGTCCAAACTCTCCACACTCACTATCTTCACCTGTTAAATGGACACTGTCTCAACGGAGTGATCCATGGACACCTAGGATGTAGTTAAGCACTGGCAGAAGGTGGCTAGAATCCTTGTTTGTTTAACTAAGGCCTTCCTTCATGCGTGTTGGCCAGCTGTACTCACGAGGCAGTGCGGGGTGGCAGACTCTTATGCACCACTCCTCGGCCACCCTCCACAAAGGCGCTGGGTGGCTTGTGGTAGACAGAAGCCAGTGTGCCAATGTAGCAGATGAGCTCATCTAGTAGTGTAGGCTCAATAAGGTCTGTCTCCTCTGAGATGAGGGGCTTCTCGGCCAGCACCACCTCTTTGGCAGCTACAGGGTCGGTGGAGAGCAGGCGCCAGTAGATGTAGCCACGGTCCCGAAGGTCTGGGTTGTCTGAGTCCTTGGAGGGTGGAGTGGAGAAGCCTGTGTAACTCCTTCCCAGATGAGAGAAGGGGGTCTCCCACAGACCAGCCTTAGCATCTAACAATTGTGTTTGTTTGGTTTGGTTTTTCTCTTTGGTTTTTTGAGAGAGGGTTTCTCTGTGTAGCCCTAGCTGTCCTGGAACTCACTATATAGACCAGGCCTGAACTCACAGAGATCTGCCTGCCTCTGCCTCCAAGTGCAGAGTAAAAACATTTATACCTGTCTCAAACAACAATTCTGAACATAACCAAACGCTTGCCCCTAAACCACTTTAAGGGGCATATCCTAGCCCCCAACTTTCAGCTAGGTCTCCAGTGCCCTACCTTTCAGCAAACCTTTTGGTTCCCACATACCCTCTCTCTTCAGTTTCCCCCATGACACTACCCCATGTAGATCTGTCTGTAACTGACTCCGGGAAGTCAGGGATCTCAGGCTACTCTGGCATCAATTCCCACAGATGCTACCCTTGGGGGTAGGGTTAGAGGGAGACTGACTCCCAGGAATAAAGCTTCTTTTGATGCATTGTGGGGAGCAGCAGGAAGGTGGGGGCACTACCTGAGTGGCCAGACTGAGGACCTGCTGCACCAGCTCCTGAGTCTCTGTTGGCTTCTTCAGGAAGAGCTTCACAATGGCTGTCAGTAGCTGTAGCTGGACCTGCAAGGGACAAGGCAAGGAGGGTGGGGTGCACAACCAAAGGAGGCTTGGTGGGTCTAAGAACAGCTGGAAACCAAGAACAGCTCTTCCAGTCTTGGGGCTGCTGCTGAGGAACTTGGATGTGGAGCTGGGCATTGTACTATCTGACAGGTAGGGTTCAGCTGGGCTCCTAGATGCCTGTCAGAGCTTCAAGTCTGTAGCTCGGAAAGAGGTTCAGAGCTTCAAAAGGCAACATGTGTAACTAGTATGCTCCTTAAAGGTGTTGATGGTACCACAGAGATCCAGGAGAGGCCAGTAGGGCTCCACAGAGCTAGCCTGCCACCAAGGAACTACATGCCTATCAGAAGCAGGAAGGAAGCGTTCCTGACCCCTCCATTTCATCATCAGGCTATCCTCAGCCTTGCTGGTGCTCCTCACTGTGGTCCTCATGCTGACCCCCAGCCTCATCCTTCCATAGTCTCCTCCATTCCCTCATCAGTGTCATCAGCTATCAGGCTGCCCTATGGCTGTAAGCTTTTTCTTTCTTGTTTTAAAGTCAGGTCTCATTTTGTAGCCCTGGCTGTCCTGGACCTCACTATGTAGACCAGGCTGGCTTGGAATTCATAGAGATCCGCCTGCCTCTGCCTCCCAAGGCGTGCGCCACTACACTGAGCTGACCATGAGCTTTTGATGCAGGGGGATAGGGTCTGTCTAGCACACTGTGTGACCCTATACTGCTTAGGCTACTGCCTAGGGAACAGGAGGGAGGCACTTAAGAATGGTGAGCAGGTGGTGGTGGTGGCACACGCCTTTAATCCCAGCACTTGGGGGGCAGAGGCAGGTGGATCCCTGTGAGTTCGAGGCCAACCTGGTCTACATAGTGAGTTGCTGGGGCTACAGAGAGAAACCCTGCCTAAAAAAAAAAAAAGAAAGCTAAAGAGAGAGAGAAATCTATGCTGGTTGAAAAAAAAACATACACACAAGACCACATATGTGGTCCTTCAGAAGTCAAAATCTTTTTCAGCCTGGAACAGGTCTGTCTATTGGGGCGGTGGGAACAATGGCCCAGGCAGCTCAGCAGCTGCAGTACTGGCATCAACTCCTGCTTGTTCAGTAGGAAGGCATGCACGGAAATGCAGGGCATTTCATCCCAGCTTGCAGGGCAGTCTGACAGTAGGAGTGGGGATGGAGACGATGGGCGGGGAGATGGCTCAGGGGTAAAGACACCTGCTGCTAAGGCTGATGACCTGAGTTCAATCCCTGGGACTCACATGGTGCAAAGAGAGAACTAACTTTCAAAAGTTGTCTGTGATCTCTACTCAAGCACCTTAACACTGCCCCTCAACCTCATCTAAAAAAGAAAACAAAACAAAAGAGGT